TTACATAATAGAAGACATTTCAACAAGATGGGGACAAACAATGGGGGGGGAGGAGGAAAAGGGGAGATCAGGAATTAGCTGGGGGGAAGGCCTGCCGAAACATCCATGTTTTTAGTTGATTTTTAAAGATACCCAGCGAGGGAGCCGCGCGAATCTCAGGGGGTAGATTGTTCCAGAGGCGAGGAGCCCCCGCCGAGAAGGCCCGGTTTCTTGTCTTTTCCTTCCGGGCCTCCCTCGGCGTCAGGCTCCTCAGCCTCACCTCCTGGCTCGCACGAGTGACACGAGGAGATCTTGGTGGAAGTAGGCGTTCCGCCAAGTATCGAGGCCCTAAACCGTTTAGGGCTTTATACGTGAGCATCAACACTTTGAAGTCGATGCGGAAACGGATGGGCAGCCAATGCAGTGCAGCCAGGGTGGGTGAGATGTGGTATTTTTTCACTCCACTGAGAACTCTGGCCGCTGCATTCTGCACCACCTGGAGTTTCCACAACAGCCTCAAAGGCAGCCCCATGTAGAGCGCATTACTAAGATAGAACAGAGGAAGCTACTGTGGTGCAACGGATGAAGTACAGGGCCAGAAGAGCTGGGTTCAAATTCTTAGCAAGGGAGTCCCTCAAGCTGCTAGCCCTCAAGATTGTAAAGGTTTGAAAGGCCATGTCTGCTAGAGGCCCATGCCTCCAAGGAGCAGAACTGCTGAATACTTTTGGACTGCCGAACCCACTCTCTTCAAACACTAGGCCACATTTCCTTGTGATTCAGTATATAATCTAATTAACTCCTATTTATCAGTGCACCTCATTTATAGTCCACATTCCACCATCATACATTTTCTTACTTACAACAGTTTTAAAACACCAAATTCACATGGGCGCTTGGAAAATCTGCTTTCATGTACCTGGGTCTTGAAAGTAGAATTCTTTTGGTGAAGGATTTAGAAATGGAGAGAGAAAAAGCAGAAAGTATGCAATAATGAATACACCGTTCCAATTCCTGTATAGCTGTGAAGCTAAGTCAAGTGTGATACAAGCTTGCACTCTGTTTCATCCAGTATTTTGCCGCCACCAGGACATTACCTAAACGGGTGATTATTCTTTAATCCCTCTTTCTCACTTTTCGCGCAATCGCATTTGCTATAAATTGCTCTCTTTGAGCAATTGAGACTTTCTAGTTCCCCTTTTCATGATTTGTCTTGATTGCATTTCCACTTAACGCCAGAGCATGAAAATTACAGACCACTTCAGAAAAGGCACAAGATGTTCAGCATTAGCCGTTGAATGACCCCAGCCCTCCAGGGCAGCAAATACTGTAGGGGTATGTACAATAAGAACTTTGCTTCTTGTCTCTGGCACAGACGGTCAGAAGGAAGGCAAGGGCACTGATCTGAAAATATTATATCCAGGATTTAGACCTAAAGAAAATAATCTTGGATCAAACCTTTATTGGACTAATGAGATGCTTAGAACAATTTCTAACACACACAGAATAAATCCTTCTGAGTTGGCATATGCAGTTAGATCTGGAAATAATTGGACAGGGATACAATTTTCATAATTCTGGCTCTGTACACCACCACAATATATCTTAAATGAAAGTGCAGTTTCATATTTAATTAGAGGAGTTGAACAAAAATATCATATGAAACATTTAGGAATTCCAACCATTTTCAAACCCAGTCCCCTTATTTCAGGGGCTCAAATGTAATTGGACAAATCAAAACCACCATTAAAAATGCTCATCTTTAATGCTTTGTTGAGAATCCTTTGCAAGCAATGAGTGCTTGAAGTCTGGAATGTGTGGACGTCACCAAACACTGGGTTTTCCTTCTTTGTGATGCTTTGTCAGGCCTTCACTGCAGATGTCTTCAGTTGTTGTTTGTTCCTGGGTCTTTCCACTTCTTTGCCTTAAAATTTCCCTTGGGTGGCTTTTGCAGTATTGTTTTGGGTCACTGTCCATCTGCAAAGTGAAGCACCGTCCAATCAACTTCTCTGAATTTGGCTGAATCTGAGCAGACAACATATCCCTATATACTTCAGAATTCATCCAGCTGCTTCTGTCACATCATCAATCAACACTAATGACCCAGTGCCACTGGAAGCCACACACGCCCATACCCTCACATTGTCTCCACCATGTTTTACATAAGATGTGGTATGTTTCAGATCATGAGCCGTTCCAAGCCTTCTCCATACTTTCTGCTTCCCACCATTTTGGTACAAGGTGATCTTAGTTTCATCTGTACAAAGAATCTGTTCCATAACTCGGCTGGCTTTTAAAGACTTTGGCAAAGTCTAATCTGGCCTTTCTATTCTTGAGGTTTATGAATGGTTTGCACTTTGTGCCGAATCCTCTGTATTTGCTCTCATGACGTCTTCTCTTTATGGAAGACTCGGATAATGAGAGGCCTGCCTTCTGGAGAGCGTTCTTCACTTGGCCAGGTATGATCATCTACCACTGTTGTCTTCTGTGGATGTCCAGGCCTTCTCGTGTTGCAGAACTCACTAGTGTCATCTTCTTTTTTTCTCGCCTACCACTGTTGTCTTCTGTGGATGTCCAGAGCTCACCAATGTCTTCTTTTTTTCTCGCAATGTACCGAAATGTTGATTTGGCCGCTCCTAATGTTACTGCTCTGTCTCTGCTGTTTGTTTGTCTTTCTTTCTGTTGCCCTTGCATTGAGAGCTCCTTTGAACATATGTTGGGTGGGTTCACAGCAATAGCTTCCAAATGTGAATGCCACACCTTGAATCAACTCCAGACCTTTTACCTGCTAAATGGATGATGAAATAATGAAGGAATATCCCACACTTCTCCATGAAACAGCTTTTGAGTCAACTGTCCAATTATGTTTGGTCCCTTGGAAAAAAGAGTGGGCTACATATTGAAGAACTGTAATTCCTAAACCCTTCTTCTAATCTGAATGTGAAGAATCTCGAGATAAAGCTGAGAGACCGCACTTTAAGCCCATGTTCATTATTTAACTGTAACTTGAATTTATTTTGGTAAACAGCCAAAATAACAAAACTTGTGTCAGCGTCCAATTCAGATCTAACTGTATAGCAGAGGGACCATAGGGTATACAATACAGTTCAGCTGCCTTTAAATCTCTGCTTTTAAGGAAACTTTTCTAGGTTGTAAGGCTAAAAAGACTTGCTGCCTGTTTTGCTTAATTGTAAGCGTACTACTCTAGGATCAATCCCTGAACTGAAGATGCTATGTGGAACTAAAAGATATGTCCTGGCTCTTCCCCATTAATATTTGGTATCTCTTGTATTATATTTTCCAAGCAGAAGATGGACCGTTGGGGAACATTTAAAGTGAAGCTACTCCCCCCCCCCACATGGTCTGCTTCTTCCTGTTATCTTCACACGATTGGGAGTGTTCCACCCTAACAAAATACACACAACTTTCTTTTAGTAGGAAGATAAGTATCAGCCATCAAGACTCATCTTTTTCCTAGCTTCACTGTCACCTGATGTTTCCTGACAACTTTTTTGAGGAAGAGGACCTCTTATCATACAATGCTCCTGCCTAGAGTTTGAAGCTATTTATAGCCCAGGTGAAGATTTGCAAACAAAGCAAAAGATGGGTTGGAAAATACATGTGCTTTAAAAATTAGGAATGAAAATGCATCCATTTTGAAAAATCCATACAAAAATATGTATGAAATTCTGTGGGCAGTGGGGGAAGGCTCACAACCTGATAAAAGAATCAACTTGGGTGTCGTAAGAATTGAGGACCTCTACAAGATGATGGATTTGTACATCCATTCTGGGAAGCACAGATGTCACAGAATATTGAAACATTACTCAAGTAGACAGAACAGACGTTAGACACCACACTGTCAGCTTTCTAACCAGCAAAGCACCTAAACCAAAACATTCCTGTGATGCACAGCAAGGACTGAAATTTCTATAAGGTTACTTGAATGTCCGATTTTAGGCTTTATTTGTGAATGAGAGGCACAAATTAACTTTGTACAAAAAAAAGGGAAAGTTACTTCCACTTACTAATTCCATTGGAAGGAAAGACACTATGAAATCATTACAAAGGAGAAAGGAAGAAAACGCATGTTCGGGAATAGCTGTACTGAATAGGGAGGTGGTGCCTACCCAGTACATAGTGACTGCTGGCTGGGATCCTGGAAGTAAGCTACAAAAGGAGAATCTAAATGAAACACTGGGTTCTTTTTATCAATGATGCACAGGGTGAGGACTGGGGCCCTCTGGTGCTGATAGTGGGGATTAAACAGCTTGGGGACTGACCAGTGCCGTACCCAATCAAGACAAAATACAAATAACTCCTGTTAAAGGCAAGATAAAACAAGTCAACAGGAATGGGAAAGAAGAGGGTTGCAGGCATCACATGGTATTCAATTAATATACTGATTTTTCATCCAAACTGCTTCATCCAGATATTGCTCATAATCTCAATAGAAAGGCAGCTTCAGAAATGTAAAATGATGAAGGGAAAACAATATACCAAATAAAGGCCTTCTTGTGATTGTTGTTCTTATGGGATGTCAAGTGGCCTCCGACTTATGACAACCCCATGAATAAGCCATATTCAAATTGTCCTGTCTTCCATGGCCCTGTTTATCTTTCGCAAACTCAAGCCTTTAGGGAGTTAATGCATCTCATATTCAGTCTTCTTTTCCTGCTTCCTTCCACTTTTTCCAGCATTATCATCTTTTCCAGATAATATTGCCTTCTCATGATGCGCCCAAAATAGGACAGCCTCAGTTTCAATATTTTTTTGCCTCCAGAGATAGTTCAGGCTTGTTTTGATCTAGGACACACTTATTCATCTTCCTGGTAGTCCAGGGTATCCACAAAGCTGTCTTCCAGCACCACATTTCAAACAAAACAGTCCCCCCGCCCCCCGATAGGCAATGGCAAAGAACACCAAAAACAGGGTATCCACAAAGCTGTCTTCCAGCACATTTCAAACAAAACAGTTAACCCCCCCCCCACCTTGATAGGCAATGGCAAAGAACACCAAAAGGCTGAAATCTTTTCTCCCCTTTATTAAGTCATTTTTTAAAAAAAAGGAGTAGTTACTTCTGTTTCTTCTCCCACTGGCTGCCTAAACAAATGAATTACAATGCGATTAAAATAATTTAACACACCTTTTGTCATATGCTTTAACCACAAGGCCATATGAAAAGGAAAAAAAAAAGAAACACACCCAAGAAGAATCTTGTGGGGAAACCAGCAAAATGTCATTTTGGACACAACACATGAAAGATACGCATTTCGCTCTTGTCAGCTGTTTGTCCTCTCCTCAGTTCTGACAATTTCATCCCCATATACAAACATTTCCCACCGTATTGCCTGCATCAAGGATCATTCAGTCCAAGGCAGCAGATGGCCCTAAGCCCCTTAACACTTATGACGACACACTCCGTCTCAGAACAGGCAACAAGCTTGCAGACAGCCACAAGTCACCACAGCTTCTTGTGAGATCCAGTTCCCACCCTCCATGTACTTCGCAGAGGGCCATATGATATACACTGGCACGCCAGGAAAGTGTACGCTCTCCTGGATGCGCAGAAAACATCTGCCACCCAGAAAGAATGCAAGCCTAGTCTGTTGTGTGGACACACATAGCTTTGTAAAAAGGTGATCTGCATCAGGAAGGGGCAAATGCACTTTTCCTCCCACCAATAGGTAAAAGCCTTCCAAATGCGTTAATCAGCATCGTATCTTACAGCATCTCCACCACGTAATATTTCCTGTACCGAGAGAGAACACACCTCTCCCCTTGCAAGTCAAATGTCAGAGGGGCACTGTTATTAGTTCAAAGCCTGGGCATTTCTAAAGGGTTTTAAAAAAAATTTAAAAAGCAACTAAAGGACCTCTCCATGGGCTACAAACCCATCGATACGTTTCCAAATGTTCACCATTAACCTCTTGGGAGTATTAAATGAAATGTTCCACCAGTGCAGAAGGTGATGTCATTTACTCTATCTGCAGCACTTTTCCAACATCAAAAGATTGTACTATCATCAAGCAGCAACAAAAAAAACCTCTTTGCAGGTCCCTTTAAGGCTGTACTAGTATTAAGGAAAGGGGGACTGAGTTGCTATTTGTGCTGGTGGATGCTACCCACCCCACCCCCATAGGGGAAGAGCAACATAAAGTCTCCTACAATAAAACTGTCACACATCTAAGCTGCCGTGCAAAACACCAATAAGGAAGAATAGAAGGACCATCAATGTGTGTCTATGGCCACTGCCAACATCTGGTTATTGGAGTCAATATCTTATGTGCGCCTAATGTGTTGTGCATCCACTCAAAACAGCTCAATGCCAGGGGAAGTGGGATCCTACTGCATTTCTGATTCTTCTTCATCACCATCATGACTAGGTTCGGTTCCGCTAAGTATCAGCAGGCCCCTCACGCTGGGATGGCGAGTGAGAATTGCAGCAGGGGAGTCAAATGGCCAGCAAAAAGGATAAAACCGTAACTGGCCACATGGGTGAACACGTCAACCAGAGATATGGTAGTTTGGCACTAAAAACAATGGCAACCACAGCTGCGGGCTGTTTGACAGAAGGTGGATTGTCGTGGCAGTAGATCCTGTCTCTTTAAAAAGTGCTGTCTAGTAAGAGGGGGGCAGAAGCCCACATTCCACATACTTTTGCCATTAGGATCACCAAAGTCAAGACTTCTTCATTGCAGAAAAAAAAACACCCCAGGACAAGGTCTTTAAAGAGGCAGTTCCAGCACTCTTTTGGGCTGGGAGGTGTTCGGGTCAGTCTCTTGTGCCAATCCTGCAAGTGACAAGAGAGAAAAGAGAGGGGAGGGGCAGGAAAAGGACAGAGGTCAGAGGCAGGATGGAGACAGACTTCAATACATGTCCTTCTGACATGCATTCCTGGCGATGAACGCATCCCCTCTGTTGCTCCACTGAAGACTGGACAGCAAACGCTTTGGGGCAGGATCCTAATTTTCCATGGTGTCCTTTTGTACAGCAGGAGTGGGCAACCTTTTTTCTGAAAAGACCCACCTGTCTTGGGGAAGAGGGACATCTGACCAGAGATACCGGCTGGTGGTGGGCAGAGGAAGGGACGGCAGCCCAAACTAAGTATGCGACTTTATCTTCTCTCCTAAACTTTGCTCTCTATCTCTTGGCTCTACACCTAATAAACTGCTGAGGACAGGGCAGACTGTTCCTGCAAAGACCCAAACTGGTAACTTGGCAGAAGGCTTTACAAACCAGGTTGAGGGCCACAGACAGCCCAGCCCTCCTACAAAGCACGGCAGGCCAATCTTACTGCCATGTAAACAGCAAAGCATTAATATGCATGTCTCTTGATTTTTACCTGGATTATTCGTCCTTGGTGCAAGGGAATTTTCCAAAGTTCAAGGGAAAGTCCATTTTTATCTTCAGGTATCCAGGGCCCAAGCCATTTAAGTTCAAGGGAAAGTCCATTTTTATTGTTCTCTAAGTAGCAGATCCAAGTCACTTATCCAAAATCCTGCTGCTCAGCATAATAAATAGCACTAGAAAAGCCCCAATGAAGCCATGAGGATCTCTAGTGAGCTTTCCTCCATAGGTTTCATAAATTCAAATCAGTCTACTCTAATGTATCAGTAGATCAAAGATAGAGTAGGCCTATCTGAATCAGTGGAACTTACAGAGGAGCTGACTCACCAAATTCCCACTGATTCAATAAGCTTTTTCTAGTGCAACTTCCTACTCTATGCAACAGGATTCAATGACTCACAATTGTCTATGGGCAGACATTTTGCATACTTCCTATGTATTTGCATCCACATTCTGCTTAAATGCTAAACATGTTCATGGAGAGAGAGCAGTTAGTTTTTGCTCAGAAGATGAGCATCCACAACACAAAACTGCTGGAAAGACTTTGTAAAGCCAGAAACATTCGGGCAGAGTCCATTTTAAGAAGCAGAACAACACTGGGGGGAGCCTGATGAGAGGAGCTCTTTACATAACCTTAAGAGGTAAACATGAGACTGGGTAAAATGGCTAGAGAAAGATACCTCCAGCTGAAAGAATATGCTTCTCCAGCTCAGCTTCAAGTTCAGCATCTGAAATGCTAGGAAGCACCACGGATGCAGGAAAAAGTGGCTTCTGTGGAACAGAAGGCAGGTCCAGATGATCTTTTGAGGAGTCTAAGAGGAGATTGTCTAATTCCTTCTCCAGTTCCTCAGTATCAACTTCTGAAATTTAAGGAAAAACGAATTATTGTCAAATATGTAGCTCAATTCTAAGTGACCTTACTCAGATTTAAGATTTATTGGCAGGGATTCATTACTTAGTGAAGTCTTTCAGCAGGTTCAGTGTGTTACAACTGAGAACAAGACCCATTCACACTTCTCTTTTACAGACAACAGGGCAGCCACTGTGTAATCCTGTTTCCACTTTAAAAAATGTAAGGAATCGATGCAGCCAAACAGACGTTTTAAAGACCTGAAATGGGCAGCTATGTACTTTCAAATGTTGCTGAATGACAGCTCCTCAACTACTGGTTATGGCCATGCTGTTGGTGTAAATTATTCTTGACATGTGCCAGCTAGGAATGCTATGAAGTTGGAATCTTAGAACTTCCAGAGGGCCACAGTTCCCTGCTCCTGTTGCTAAGGCATTCACCACTTGAGAAAGACACCCCCATCCAAACATCTGGATATGAAGTTACAAGGAAGAAAAATCGAACGAGCAGGGCTCAAAACTCCAATATTTTGGACATACCTGAGCCATTGATTCCCACTCCTGCTAGGGTCTGAGCTACTTCATCCTGGGTATCACAAAGCTGGGGGGGAAAAGTAGAAGTTTATTGCAGTTTTATTCCTCCTGCTCTTTAAAAAGTTCAAGGAACTTTGCATCGTGACCTTCCTGTTTCAAATTCAATCAGTTTGATTGAGAGACAGTTTAACTGGTCAATAGTGAAGCCACAACATACACACCCATGCTAAAACTGGATAAGCCAGTTAAAAAAGGTTAAGATGAAAGGTTTAGAAGCCACCTCGCAGAAAGCAAGGAAGCAGGCTACTGTACCATTGTGAATGTTTTTGCTAAATGCTTTTATCTAAAAGGTTCCACAACCCAAAACAACTGATTCATGTGCCCAGAATGGGTCCATTCTCTTTCAGCAGTATCTTCTTGACCATACCTCTTGAATTTGATCCACCAGGTTCTCTGCCTTTTCTACAGTGACATCTTTCATGGACAGCTTCAGAGCTCCTACTCCAGCCTGGTAGGCATTGAATACCTTCAAGGAAAGAAAACAGAATTTTAAAGACATCTTAGTCTGTTGCCCTTCTTCCATAATTGTCCAGTGTCAGCAGTTACAAAGGCCCACAGAGCTAGCAAAAGGGCAACAACAAAGAACCCCAGGGCCTACAGTAGATGCCAAATGTGGACACGTCCATGCGCTCAACATGAGGACGAGCGATTGGAGATGGAAAAGGAAAAGTGGGATTAGCTGCTGATGGCAAAAGCAGTGAGAGCAAGGCCAGAAGTATTCATTCATTCAACACTGAAGTGAAAAGTAAGTATGGTACAAAACACATTCCCAAGCGGAAGAGGTCAATGAAATACAGCAAAAAGAAATAATACCATCTGATCTGTCTGAGAGGCATATATCCGGTCCAGGATGCCTTGCACCACATCCAGCTTGGAGTGAAGTTCTGCAATGCGTCTTTCTGTTCTTTGTTTGGATTTCAAACATCTAAGTGCCTAAGAAGATAGACAGCATTTTAATCAAATATCCCCCCCCCAAAAAAAAGGTTGGGAGTGGGGAACCAGGTACTTTCAATGCAGGAGCGGATGGAAAAGGGATGGATTTTGCTTCCCGTTAGCCTCAAGCTAGACTTTGAACCTAGATTTTGAATCTGGCCAACCAGATACTGTTGGACCTGCAATTCCCACATGTCAAATCCATCCTGGTCAACAGTTACAGATGAAAAGCACTGCAATTATCAACCTCTGGAAAGCCACAGGTGCTGGCTTAGGGAGGAGGTTAGCACCCTAAGTAACAGCCCTGAGCAACGTTCCCTTTAAAGCTGTGTGCATGTGTAGCACCGAATCAGGGTGGTGCAGCCAAGCCAATGCTGCCACCCATTTGCCCCACCCAGCACTCCAGAAAATTTAGAGAGAACGTTGGAGCTGAGAGATTACTGAATGCCCACCGCAAGTGGCTCACTTGTAGAACCAATTTGCTTCTGGAAGAGAGACAGAAAAACTGCACTTGTAGTTTCTCTCTTCAAGACAAAATGCTGATTCCAATGCTAGAGAAAAGGAACATACAGCTTCCAAAATGTTAAAGAACAAGGTCCTGAAATGGCAAGCTGGGGGGATGGGGTGGGGGAAAAGCACTTTGTTGTTCAGTTTAACTTTTGATTTGAAATGTGGCCACATTGTGGAATTGTACAGAAAAGAAAGAGTCTCAGCGCTAAGGAATGCTACCCATGTGGGCTAGAAACGGCTGTTCCTGCATTATCAAAATGGTCATAATCACCATTCATGCCACTAGAACGCCCGACAGGTCAGACGGTAGTTTTGTTGGGAGAGGAGACTATACAGGGCTCTGACTGAGGGAAGAAAAAAAACCCCACAACTATAATGTGAGAGCAGCAGCCCCTTAACAGAAAGCATGTACATGTCATGCCACAAAGTAAGTTAACATTTGTGCATGAAGACACAGCGACAGGAATGTGTCCTTGTGCAATGTTAAGATTACATACACACTTGGTTCATTCTCAACGAAAAGCTTGGTGGCCTCAACATCGCTAGAACAGAAATGCCTTGGAAATCACAGAAATAGGGACGTTTTGGACACCCTCTGACCACTTCAGAGGCATTGGCTCCCAACAGGATTCAGCTGATGACAGCAATTATGTTGAGTTTCAAGCCCAGTTGTATCACGGAGAAAGGCTGTACTTACCAGCTGCTTTTTCCCGGCTTTACATGCACTCCGAGCCTCCTCTTTACATCTACAAAAACATAATATAAGCAGCTCAGTTTCTTAAACTGGGATGGGTCACAATCTCATTCTCTCTCTACCCACCAATCACTTCAGTATTACTACTGAGACTGTTGTCAATTTGTTTCTCTCAGGATTTTTTTTATCCACTGATCAAGAAAGAGCTTTCTTAAATAGGCTTTATGAATTTTCAAGGGGGATCTCCGCCATCGTAACTTTGCCCTAAAGGAGTTCAAGAACAGAAATGCTCTTGGCACTAAGGAGCGCAGCTTCGCAAGGTCTGAACCTGTGATATCATCTAAAGAGATAAATGACACACACCCCATATTACCTCTCTGCTTCTTGGGCCAGGGACTCCACTTTCTGCGTCAGGAGCTGCTCGCTTTGCATCAGCTGATAAACTCCAATGTCCACGTCGTTCACTGGGGATACTTTGGCATGAAGTCCTCGGGCAAATTTCATAATCTGAAAAACAATTTGTTGTTTGATATGAAATGGCCATGCCATGGGGTGGCTGCATCTTGTGTAGGTGGGTACGGGATGCACACAAATGCATATACATAACCATGACAGCAGCAAGCTTTTCCCCCCTTCTGGTAGACTTTTGAGAACTTATTGGTTGTTAAGGAATAGTTCAGTGGTTTAGGTATCAGGCTGTGGAGCCAGAGGTTGGGAGTTTGATTTCCCACTGTGCCTCTTGTGAGTACAGGCAACCAGCACGATCTTGGGTGAGGTGCACAGTACCACGGCACCCCCAGAAGAAGGGAACAGTAAACAGCTTCTGAGTATTTTCTAATCTGAGCTGAAAGCAACAGCCTCATTTCATGGCTTGGGTTTTTCTGACCCACACGCTTTGAGATCCTGATGGCTACTTCGGATTTTCATTTTAGAAGCGAAGTACTTTTGCTGAATAACTGCAGGGCAAATGTCTCAAGGAAGAGTAGCTGGATTTGGCCCAACTGAATTCCACCCAGGGATGGGATTATGTCCAGAAACAGTGACTTTCGCTGGGTACCTTATTGCCGTTCTGCTCCAGGACTGTGACCCTCTTCTCCTTCTGCAGCTGGAGTAGCACCAGACAGAACGTCCGTTCATCGGGGCAGATGCTGGTGCACAAGGAACGCAGCTCTGCCAGACCCACAACAGGATGTGAGGAAAGTGTGGAGTTCTGATAGAAACGATATACTTCTTCCGCCTTCTCCTGAAAAAAAATAGCCACCAGATTTGAAGATCATTTTCTGCCACTATAGCTAACACCAAGCACAGATAATTACTTCGTATCACAATGGATAAACCTCAGGCCCTTTGGGTTAAATACAGGTGGTTGGGGCTTTCCCAGATGGCGATATTTTATTCTCCAGGACAACATCCCGATTCTAAAATGTTGCAATGCCTCTTCCAATGTTCACACACAGGCAGTAACAGCTTTAAGCTCCAACATTCTGTTATTTTTAATCCCAACCTTTCACATATGGAATGAAACTGAATTTGGATTCAAATGAAAAAGGTCTCCCACTCTTTCTATAGACCCTGACATAGATCAAATAAGCCAAGTTATTACTACAGGAGACATCTGCAAGTTTAAGACCATCACAAAACTTGTAATGGCACAAATTACAATATCATCTTGATTAGCAGTTTGTCTTCACTAAGACAGAGTAAGTGTGCCTTGGATTGCCTAGTGGTCGTCACTAGGTTTCCATAAACCACATGTCACCAAAAACCAACTTGCAGCAAATAAATGTTAACACAATTGGAACAAACACACCTTTGAGATGCAGAACGTCCCAGCCGCAAAAAAGAAGACTGTGACTTGTGTCTTGAAGGGATAAAATACACATGTTTTTCAAACTGAAAGCACTATAATCTTTACTCATTGCACTACTAATTTCTTTGAAACTTGTTTTCATTTATGGACCACATTTATCAGACCACAACAGAGGAAGATGGGGGAAGTGGGACTTCCCCCCACAGACTGTGCCAAAAGGCGATCTTTGTGTTTCCTTTCAACTGACCACATCTTAAGAAGTTTTTTTAAAAAACAAGTGCTTTCTTTTCTTCCCCTCTTTCTTTCATACCCCTTCCTCCCCATGAGTTGAATTTTTTTCAGACTGTAAGTTGTGAACAGTGGGTAGAAATGCTTTAAAGAGGACACAATGTAGGTGTGCCTATGGGACACATTAATTCAGGGATCAATGGATAACGTGGCTTGTCATGAACAAGCAACTTGGCACTCACGAAAGGGGCACATGTGTAGCCACGGAGCACTGTTCCCTGTTCATTTGCCATGCCACTAAGCAGATTCCCTTCTTTCGTTTGTTCCTTTCCCACAAACCTCTCTGTGGGTGGGTGTGGGTATGCATGTCATAAAGCCCCTTCTTTCGTTTGTTCCTTTCCCACAAACTTCTCTGTGGGTGGGGGTGGGTATACATGCCATAAAGCGGAACCAACTTATAACAACCCTAACAGAGCTTTCAAGGTAAGTAAAGTATTTAAGGAGTAGTTTTACATCAAGTTTGGCAACAGTAGGTAAGTGAGGTATTTAAGGAGTAGTTTGGCAACAGATAGTGTAAATTCTCAAACAGCACCATAAACAGTTAAAGCTGTGGTGCATGCCAGTCCGTAATTATAGCTGGGAAACATGTTCGCTTCCCACACGTCCCTATTTATAGAAGCATCAAGTGAAGAAGTAACGCTGTACGACATATTCACATATGTCCCATAAAGCGAAAACTGTGTGAGTGTTATGTTCAGTGCTTAAGACATATGTCCCATAAAGCGAAAACTGTGTGTTATGTTCAGTGCTTAAACTTCCTTGCTGAAGCCACAGGCTTTGAGTCAAATTTCTAAGTAATGTCATTAAGACTAATCAAAATACAAGTATATTCCCTATCTCCCTTCGTAGATGTTGGCTATCAAAGCGTATGTTTCGTTTCAGCTCTTCCACACAACTAGTGATGCACTATATGAAGTGAGAGGTGAATCATAGAAAAATGAAGTTGGGAGGGGCCTACAAGGCCATCAAGTCCAACCCCCTGCTCAGTGCAGGAATACAGTGAAAGGATATTGGCCACGTGATTATCCAAGTTTTTCTTGAATGCCTCCAGTGTTGGAGCACTCACCAACTCCCGAGGTAATTGGTTCCACTGTCGTCCTGCTGTAACAGTTAGGTGGCATTACAATGTCATGTCTAGTTAGACTAGGGCAGGAATTAAGATGCAAGAACAGTGCGTCAGTGTGGCCATGTTTATAATGAAGCAGGACTAATCTCTCGTGATCTGGAATGAGCCAGTTTTAAAGTTAACTTTCAGATTTAAACTCTTTGTTTTTTTCCTCTTTGGAGAATATTTTAAATATATAAACACTGAAAGGTTAATGTTAGGAAAATAAAAACTTTTCATTACTAAACAGCTGAAGGCAAAAAAATAAAATCAAGTCACCATATAAATAAAGTAAAACATCAATATGCACAACATGTTTGACTTACTGTACAGGGCAGACAAACTTCTCTAAACAAACCACACCACAAAAGAGGGTGAGCTGTCATTTAAACTTGTCTCTTAAATAGGGATGTGGTGGCACTGCAGGTTAAACCGCTAAAGCCTCTGTGCTGCAAGGTCAGAAGACCTGCAGTCGTAAGATTGAATCCACGCGATGGAGTGAGCCCCCATCGCTTGTCCCAGCTCCCACCAACCTAGTGGTTCAAAAGCATGCAAAATGCAAAAATGAGTAAATAAATAGGTACCACCTCTGTTGGAAGGTAAACGGCGTTCCGTGTCTAGTCACGCTGGCCACGTGACCATGGAGGATTGTCTGTGGACAAATGCTAGCTCTATGGGTTGGAAGCGGAGATAAGCACCGCTGCCTAGAGTCGGACATGACTGGACAAATTGTCAAGGGTTTACCTTAAATAGACAGGTTCTATACACTACAATGTCACTTATTATTTCACCCCCATAGATTGATCATGTGCTGCTCAAAATTTCACTCCCACCCCCATAAAACACATTTCCGGATCGGAGGCTGTCCACCAAGGTGGGCTAAAAAATTGTAACTGTCACCGTTTCATCGCTACTCTTTATTATCACTTGAGTTAAAGACACAAGTACAGAATGCAGCATCAATGAATAACAGGGAACACAGTTTTCAAAAAGTTAAGAAAAAACACCCATCATTCATTCATTGAACAAATAACATGGAAAGCCCTACTCTGTCACAAATATAGCTGACTAGGGCTTCCATGTAATTTAAGCTTCAGAAAATATAACAAGAACCATTTTCAAAAGTAACAATTCGATATACAATTTATTTATTTATTTATTTATTTATTAAATTTATGACTGGACAAATTGTCAAGGGTTTACCTTAAATAGACAGGTTCTATACACTACAATGTCACTTATTATTTCACCCCCATAGATTGATCATGTGCTGCTCAAAATTTCACTCCCATCCCCATAAAACACATTCCCGGATCAGAGGCTGCCCACCAAGGTGGGCTAAAAAAATCGTAACTGTCACCGTTTCATCGCTACTCTTTATTATCACTTGAGTTAAAGCCACAAGTACAGAATGCAGCATCAATGAATAACAGGGAATACAGGTGATATTAAAAGGTTTTCAAAAAGGAAAGAAAAAACATCCACCATTCATTCATTGAACAGATAACATGGAAAGCCCTCCTCTGTCACAAATATAGCTGACTAGGGTTTCCATGTAATTTAAGCTTCAGAAAATAGAACAAGGGCCATTTTCAAAAGCAAGAATTCGATATACAAGACAATGTGTGCCATGATCTGAACATGCATCAACCACTGGTCTCTTTGCTTCCCACAAATAAAAATACTTCTTTTGGCACTGCATAAGCGGAATAATCAAGTACATGTCACTTCCTTACAATGTGTGAGCCTCAGGCACTGAAACACATACCTGAAGCAGCCCCACATAAATCAGAATTTCCTCCTCCTCTGGCACTTTGCTGTCACCCAGCACACTGGACAAGGTCCACTTGAGGGGCTTCAGAATGAAGACTCCAACACCCCAGGAGATCCAGCTACTGTCAACACTGGCCATGAAGTCAGACTCTCTCTGTAACTTGCCACGTCTGTTAAGAAAAGACATACAAACATGATGAATTTCAGAAAAAACAGTGAAAATGCTTACATTCACACAAAAGGGATCCTTGTACGCCATGCTGGAACTTTCTCCGATCGGGGGACGAAACAGTATGAGAATATACAGAAAATAATACCAAAGGATTGAAGAATGGAGACTTGGAGAATTAAATATATTTCATAATCGCATATGGCTGGCAGAATCCAAGAAAACCTTTAGAGTACTACAGGCCTTGAAATAAAGCAAAGCATGGCAAACAAGAATCTTTTGATTTTTATATTGAAAAGCAACCAATATTTCTTTTTGGGAAGGCACTATCACAAAGATTCTGATTTTTTAAATCAGATGATCAACACTTCTAAAACCAGCCCTGCAGGCCTCCCTTTATACACTATTACCTATTTTTCAGTGATAATCCCACATGTGTGGAACTGCCTCCTGGAAAACTATATTGAATTCTTTTGGGGGCCTTTAAGCAATCCCAATTTTCTTTTTCATTCCCGAAGCTTTTTACTGATCTTGTACTTGGGTCCCTCCATTGCTTCTACAACTGAAAATGTTTCTATTCCGTTTGTTCAGCTGATCTGTTTCTACATATTGTGAACTGCCTTACAACAGCTTATCTTAAATAAATATAGTAAATAAGCTAAATCATAATTCTGGGGCGTCTTAACTGGACATAGTGGAGTATTGCCATCAGGTGCATTAAGTCTTATGGCTCAGCAGAAGAAAGCCATAGAAGTAGAGAGGGAAAATTTTGAAGGATGAGCCTACAAGGCCACCCAAAACAAAAACGGCAGTCTACAACATTTCTAGCATGTACAGTATATAGGATATAAACACATCAGCCATTCACAACTGCAACTTCCAGCGGGAGCCACATTCATGTAGTGAAATGAAAACAAAACAGTTTGCAGAAGCTTTCAAGTCTAAGGTGCCAGAGGAAACTGGGTTGTTTTTACTCACAACAACAGTAACTACAGACAAATCAAGGTGTTGTTGTTTTTTAGTCTAGATAAAAGGCATTACTAAGGGAGGATATAAACATGAACTTTGTTTGAATCATGCTGCAACAAATGATAAAAGTTGGGATATAAACATAAAATAACAAATAAAAACTTAGAACTAAGCACACACACACACACACACACACACAAGAGAATAAAAAAAAATAGGGTGGGAGGGAGCATACAGCTATAAAACCACTAAAATATTACTTTTGTTTATTTATTTAAAATATTCCCCCCCCAGCCTTTCTCCTTAAAAAGAACCACCACGGCGGGCTTAGAGCATTAAGAAAAGACTGTATTTAAAAGCTGAAAGCAGGCACTATGCAAATACTTTTTTTAAAAAAGAGAGAGAATCAAACAAGCATTATATTAAAAACAGTAAATTCAACATTTAAAAGCAACAGAGCACAAGGTTTCTTTGAAAACTGGCAAAGCTTTCAGCTCCAAAAGAACCCTTTTAGCACAGTCCCACAAAAGCGGTACCCATCCTTGAGGATGATGATGATGATGATGATGATAGCAACTAAGAAAAACCTCCCACCAGGTCGCCCCCTTTTCTCCCTCTCCCGACGCTGGTCAGCACCGAAGCCACGCCGGAATCTGCCCCCCCTCACCCGGGGCAGCTCCTCGCCCGCACTCTGCACGCCCTCAGAGGCGCTCTGGTCCCCGGAAGCCCGACTCGAGGGGGCCCCCCCCAAAAAAAACCAACACCACCACCACCACGAAAGGCCCGAGAAGAGGCTCAAGGCGGCCTCACCGGAGGAGCTCCCGGAGGACGGTGCCCAGGCCGAGCGGGAGGCTGCCGCGGCGCTCGAAGGCCTGCTGGAGCTGCCGGAGGCAAGTGCGGACCCTTCCCCGGCGGCGGCCCCACTTCAGGACCAGCTCGCTCCAGAAACTCATCTTGCTGTCCCACTCGGTGGCGTTGACCTCCCGGCTCTGCTTGAAGGCCGAGAAGAGGAAAGCCATCCGCTCTTCATCCGCCTCCCACTCCGGGGGAAGGTCCTCCTCCGGGACCGGCCCGACCCGCGCCTCTTCCGGCGAAGACATCTAGGCGAGTCCCCGGCTTCAACCGCGGCCTAGATTCCCTTCGCCTCTCCCCGGCCAGGCGTTTCCTCGGCCACGGGAGCGCGCATGCGCCTCCTTCCTGTTTCGCAGGCGCACAAAGGCAAAGGCATAGCCGAGGAAAAATGGTAGACGTGTAATACACTGGTGTGGAGGCGCAACTTCCTGGTTCCTTTGCAGGCTATTTTTCTCCCCCGTGGATGGGGCCCATAGAAAGGACTGGGATTTTCGCGTGTTTTTTTCTTCTCCTCTGAAACAAAAGAAAGCACGTCCTCGAGTCTTCGGATAGAGAATTTTTAAGTGTCAAAGGCTGCTGTGCTGTTACATCCTGTTGTCTTCATTTGGGGGGAAACAGGGGTGTTTCAGCCATAACAATAGGTCATAACACCCCTGCAGTGTAGACCGCTTTTCATAGGTTAGGTTAGTAGAGCCAGGGAGGGGATCCCAACCTGAAATCCCCATGCAAAGACAGCATCCAGGTGGCAAGATAGATAGATGTGCTTAAAACAACCGGCTTCAGGTGTTTCCTGCCCAAATCTATTGCTTTCCTTCTTACTACTGCCTTAAATATTACTCCCGCGTACCAAGTTTTGAATGTGTAAAATTGCCAAAGAAAGGCCTGTTTTTCTCAGGAAAAAATCCTGATTCAGAGAAACCGGTGTTGCGTCTCTGGCGCGGCTGTGCTAAAATTCTGCATGTGTCTTGAGATTTTTCTATGGGCATCTTTCACTGGCGCACCAGAAGACAAACAGGGCATGCACGATGAAACTGGGAGTTGATCACAGTACTTCATTTCTCATTGATCGCAGTTCTGTGATGGAAAGCTGCTCAGGGTTGGATCCCCAGATGTTCTTGGACTACAACTCCCAGAAGTCCTGGCCAGCCGAGCTAGCGGTGAAAGCTTCCGGGAGTTTTAGTCTCTACTGACTGTCCATCAAGATGCGTCCCATTCCATGCAATCACCTGTGCAATTGGGGATCCCGGCTTTACCTCGCCCGAAGAGTAGCAGTCACCCCAAGCAACGGCAGAAATTCTGTAGAGCATAATCCCATCTCAACATATTCTGTGATATGTCGGTCACATGCATGAAAGTACTCATGTGGATGGCGAAAAGTTTTTTTAAACAACACAAGAACTGATGTTTGTGGCATTAATATACAAACAAAGTATGCAGGTGACATGGATTTCCCGGGAGTGGGTTTAAGTATGGAACTTATGCATTAGATCCACTCACTGCAAATCTTTTGCGAGTTTCTTTTGTAGCACTGCAAGAAAGCCAGGACTGAAATTCGATTGATTGATTAACTGGAGACCTTATAACATTGTTACGGTGACATTACAAAACAACAACAACTCTGTTCCTTGTGGAAATGAAAACAGAACTTATTTGTTGACACATCTTTCTACTTCTCTTGGCTTTCCTTGGGGCCTCTGAATTCCACTGCGAACAAAGGAGCCTTTGACTCTAGAGTATAGCTGGTGACAAAAGAACGACACCCATATCAACTTGTCTCTCAAAAGTTCCTCGTGTTTCCTGTGTAGGCATGCATAAACTTCCATGTACACACACACAATTATTTTTTCCTCTCTCTCTTTTAGACACCAAGGTATTAAAAGACAGACAAAACTGTTTGGAAGACTGCCCAGTTGGGATGGTTCCCCCCCCCCTTGCTCTCCAGATGAAGAAAGAAGAGTGGCAGGATGGTTGTAAGTAGGGAGCTTTCAGGATCTGGGCTAAACAGACACTCCTGGCCTTTGACTCAAGAGTCCAGCCTGGAGAACTTGCTGTTATGGCAAGTAGAATCGGGAGAGATGCCAATAGTCTCAGCCTTGAACTTCTCTTCAGACTTCGTTGATGGCTGGCCAAAGACCTACCGAGAACGTACGGCTTCTATTGTAAATTATGGAAACTGTTAGAAACTGGATCTGGAACAGAGTTTCCTTCTTCGCCCCAGGAGGTTTATAAACTGGAAGGGAAAGTGAGGCAACTGCCTCAGATTGAAGACTTTGAGATGTTATGAAAGGAAAGGAAATGGTCAGTAATTCAAGATGTTATTTGCAGTTTATTGTTGAGGGTGGTGAGAACTGGGGAATTTTCTGCTGCCCTTTGCAAATCCATCTGGTTGGCTTTGAGTACTATTTGCTACAGAGTTTTGAATGTTTGGTTAAATTCCTTTGCCTCTGCAGCAGAAGTGCAGGGATTCGCAGAGCCGAATATCTTCAAGTTCCCCACAGTATATTTCCCATTTCTTGTTAACTGGCAGTTAACCCTTATTAGGGTTAATGGATAGATTATCAAGGTCACAGAAATCCTGAAATTTAAGTAAAGTGTGGACGAAGACCTGATCTAGTACGAGACATCAACACTGTATCATTGGCGTACAGGAGTATAGATAAGGGAACACCGTTAAGGGCCGGAGCTGACTGATTGCAAGGGGAAAGAAAAGAGGGAAGATCAGCTAAAAATAAATAATAAAGGGGCCCAAATGCAACCTTGGCGGACACCTTTTTTCGGTAAGAGTGTTGGAATCAGGTAAACGAGCCTGATGTACATAGCACTGAGCAGATCAAACAGCAAACTGACAAACACGACTGCTTTCAGCAGCAAACTTCAACAGACTAAAGAGAAGGAAAGAAAACTGAGCAAAGAGGCAGAGTTTTGAATGTTTGGTTAAATTCCTTTGCCTCTGCAGCAGAAGTGCAGGGATTCGCAGAGCCGAATAACTTCAAGTTCCCCACAGTAGATTTCCCATTTCTTGTTAACCGGCAGTTAAGGTCTCAGTAACTCACTCTGAGACATTGGTAGTAGAAAGAATTAAAACATTTCATGTACTTAGCATTGAACAGATCAACCAGCAAATTGACAAGGGGATGGGGCCAAGTAAAGGGGTGGAGAATGTCAAAAAGTGTGGCAGAATGCCCAAGTCACACCTGTCCGTCATATGGAGCTCTAGGGCAGGAACCTATGGCAGGACAGGAGGGGCGAAGTAAAAAAAAAACAGTTGGAGACTGAGGGGGTTAGAGAGAGGAGTTTTGAAGTGTTAAGACCGAGATTGGAAAGTTGGTTTGTGGTAGAGAATAGATAAGAGATAAAAGTAATAGAAAATAGATAGACAGTCATAAGATATTGTTACAGTGGTTAATGTGAATGAATACAAACAAGCATACGTGTAATCCTATCCAAGTTTAACGACTGAGCAATAAAAGAACTTCTATGATTTTACTTCTGGGATTTACAAAACAAACAATAAATAAAACTGTAAGAGGCAGAGCTCTCATTGAATTCAGAGGTAAGGAAGGAACAATTGGATCGACTGATAGTCAGTCATCCCAGCCCAATGTACTAAAAGTAGCACTATACATCTTGATGAGGGGCAAGCAGTTTTTACAGTTCCTCTTCAGACAGCAAACATCTTGGCCCACCCACCCTGCTTGAATAAGTCCCTGGTGTTTGCATGAACTTGTGCAGGTTAAAACTGCATAGCAATACAGAACTCGGAGAAGCTAGTTGGGTGGATTTCTCTTGTGGCGTTGTCATTCGCAAACATAAGACTTGATCAGTAGAAAATGTTTTTATTCAGATTTGTCTCAACGTAGTTAGAAGTCTGTATACACACCCGGGAACTTTGCCTTCCCCCAAAATGTATAGAGTTTAAATATTCTCCTGCATATCCCCCAGTACATCTAAACCTGTCTCCCCACCCCCTTGAGTGGCCTTTTTCTGCTTCAAGACAGATAAGCCATCACACACATTAACTATCAGAGAGGAAAAACAGACACTGGCCACTTTGTTTTGTTATTACAATATACTGTAATTGGCATTCAAAATGTATCTTTAATTTTCCATTCTCTCCATTCAGTATTAATTTGTAATAACTAGGGTACAAAGACCTAGCCTCAGAAGTAAAAGGACAAACTGTGTTGAACAATGCAGTGTCCATTTTAAGGACTTTATTCTTTTTACACAAAGGTAAGCTTGCATGATCCAGATGGGGCCAAGTAAAGGGGTGGAGAATGTCAAAGAGGTCTAATCTGAACGATGTTCCAAAGTGGTTTATCAAGTGCAATGTCGAGCTGATAGGAAAGAAAGAGAGTAGGATTGCTGGTTGGGGCCAATGGGTCTTGTAGTCCAGCCCATCTGGTGAAGGAAAACAAACAGGGGACACTGGGGGTACGCGACAAAGAGGTCTAAGCTGAATGATTTCCCGAAGTGGTTTATCAAGTGCAATGTCAAGCTGATAGGAAAGAAAGAGAGTAGAATTGCTGGTTGTAGTCCAGCCCATCTGCAAAGCTCCAGGCTGAGGAAGGCTGGTGCTGTAGCAGGTCATCTGGCCATGTGAAAGTCTTCTATCTTCATGCCCATTCTTATTCATTGCTTTAAGACCTCCTTCCAGTTGTCTAATGGTGCTGGCTACTACAGTATGTGAAACTATGAAGGAGAGAAGTGAGGACTCTGCAAGTTGAATTGTGAGACCTCTCTTAATGCAGATTCCGTTAAGATAAGTTTGTTAAGCACCTTCTGAATGTTCTCCCTCCTGCTAACTGGAAGTGACCTTGGTGTTTAATACAACAATCATATGATGCTACTTAGAAAGTATGGAAAGTACAGCTGAGTCATGCGGAAATGCACTTCCTCCTCCTGGCCTTTCTTTTGTCAGCAGGTGAAGATCTTTTTTATGTGCTGTTTTTTCTTTTCTTCCTTAAAGACAAACTAGTACGGACTGCTTAATAAAATGATTTTAATGTGTTTTAATCTGAATTGCATTTTAATCACAGAATGAATTCAAATTTATTTTAGTTTTTGTAATGGAACTGCATTTTGCTTTCCTATTGAACTGTTTTGGAAGCCAGAATGTGGGGGAAAAGCAGCATGTAAAATACATATATACATAAAATACATAGAACCAAACATGACTGGAGAGTGGTAATTAGTTTTCTCCTCCTTATTAGAAGAATATTTCCTAATAAGGAGTTTACTGGAGATAAGTGAGATCAGAGAGCACTGAAATTCAGAAAGTAAAGAGAACAGCTTTCTGGTGCTTTATAGTGACCACGGCAGAGTTTTTAAGGTGATGTTTCAAATTGACAACTGTCCATAAGTTTCCAGAGCCTAGCCGAGA